GTAAATTATTGAAGAAAATGATAACAACTTTGAAGAAATGACTTTTGATGCTACCAAAAAATAGTACTTGAATAATCTCGAGCTTGATGATCGAACTTCGAGCTTGGATGAACATGAACGATCTTCGAATACCTGAAACAAAGGCAACGAGATGTGTGCTCGTCGTCCCTTCGATGCTTAAGTCAGATAGAAAATTTAGTGCGTGAGGCTATAAACTGGAGATAATGAAAAACGTACCTCAAGAATGAGCCCAGGTTATGTATTTATAGGTGTTGACAATAGAGTCCTAGAAGGACTCACCCATGTGTGATCCTTATCCTCGTAGGATAAGGAGTTAGCGTTTTATTCCAAGTGTTCAACCATTGTTAGAGTTGAAGAAGGAATAAAAAAGGGTAAAGATTGTGGTCAAAATAGGATTAGTGTTCTCATAGATAATATAGAAGGACTGGCGAGTTAACATACAGACCTGACCTCACATGCCCGACCTTGGTTTGGTAGTTTTAGGGGGTATTAAGATCGGGGTTCATGAGAAGTGATCAGGGTTCATGGATCGAGTTCGGGATTGACAAGATCTGGGATCATCATTGGCCCTCGTGCATCGAGGTCGTAGATTTCCATCCAAGCTTGATCTATGAGCTAAGATGTAGAGGCATAAATGTCCAAGTGTCTTTCCACGTGTCGACCGTTTAACGAGATGTCAGAGAGCGACCTTAGATGGCCGCCACGTGTAATGTCGGAGCACGACATTAGATGCCTGCCACGTGTCTTGGTCTAAGGGTTGAGATTGCATGACCGTTGGTATTCCACAGTCCCCTATAAATACCTCAACTTTCACTTCCCATTTTTCACTTTTCACTCTCATCTCTCAGTAAATTGAGCTCGAGCTCGAGTTCGGGGATAGTGGGTTGGTGAGCGATCGTCGAAAAAGGTAAGAGTTCGAGCCTTTAAGTTGCTTATTTGATTATAATATAATGTCGAGTAGTGGTAGCAGTAGTAAGGGGTCCAGCACTAGCGACAGTAGCACCCCTTCTAGGTCAGGCTCGAATGTTAACCATAGTCCTGAGGATCTAGGTACATCTATTGTTCCCATGGCTATCCCTATTAGCTCGCGTACTGAGAGTGAGACCACCTTAACCTATCCTAAGGAGCCTACCAAATATAAGGAGCACGTAATTATTAAGAGAGCTATGGAGTTTGAGGTTATGCCAACGTGTGACGTCAGAGCCCTAGGTCCTACTAAAACCGTACTAGGAGCTCGAGAATGAGAGATAACCTTTTTTAGAGATGCCCTTAAGGCCGGTCTGAGGTGGCCGCTCCATCCTTTCTTCAACCATTTTTTGACATCCTATTATTTATACTCGGGTCAACGAGTCCCGAATGGTTGGAGGATGTTGGTATACATTTTATATTGTATAGGTGCCTCGAGGTCGAGCCCAGGCTTGACCTTTTAATGATGGTCTTCGATATGAAGTATTCTCTGGGGTTTAACTATTTTGTGTACTTGTCAACAAAAGGGGGATTTAGGACACCAGAAGTCCCGAGCCCCCTTCGAGGTTGGAAGGAGCTTTTTTTTTTTTTTTGTGAAACCCCAAGATCCCAACCATCCATTTAGCCCGAAGTGGGAAATACTCGATAACGATAGATTTAATGATGGACAGGCTTACTTCGAGGTTTTAGAAGGGGATAGATTGAGGTTAGTAAACCATGATCCTCTTGTAGATAAGATCAATTACTTGCTCGAGGACGACACACTTGACCTTGCTATTGTGAAAGGCCTCGAGGGTATGGAATCTTTATAGCTTTGTGTTTTCATGTCGATGTCTTGACCTATAGATCGAGCTAATGCCTTGACTTCTTTGTTTGCAGAACTAGAGATATCTTTTGACCCATCCAGCTTGCTCGCGAATGTGCACCACAAAGCCAAAGGGCCAAAGCCTAAGTCCCCAACTCAGGGCAAATGGTAGAAGAGAGCGAGAGAGGTCGCGCCTAATGTTCCTCCAAGTGTGGTGGGCCAGACCTCGACATCAAAGAGCCCAACCCCAACTCCTCAACCTGCACAAAAAACACAAGCTCGGGCTTCTACACCTCGAGCCTCGAATGCGATTGATAATTACCTCGAGCCCATTCCCACGAGCGCGCTCAAAGATTATTCTGAGTGTGCATTAATAAAGGAGCTCGTGGACAAGTATGAAAAGGAAGTCGCCCTCTATGAGGGGTTAAGGCCCTTGAAATTTTAACTTTGCCGGTACGATCTTGATCTGTCCTTATCCTTTGTTTTCGATCTTTTGTGCTTGAACTAATAGTTTTCTAATTCTTTTATGTAGTCCCTAAGTGTGGCCAGGGCCAGACCCTGAATGGTCTCAATATTTCTGAAAGGTTTGAAGAGCTTGAGGATGAAAAAGAGCGTACAAAGAAACGGGCCCTCGAGCTTGAGGAGGCTCTCGAGGTCACAAGGATAGATCTCCGAAGGGCACGAGAGGAGATCGGGGTAGCTAAGGACGAGGTGGAGGAAGCGAAGCTCGAGCTTCTTCAATCTCAGAAGAACTTCGAGGGTAAGCTAGTGAAGATTCGAGAAGAGACCCGGGTTCAAACAATCGAGGACTTTAAAAAATTAGATGAGTTCAAGACCTTGCTTGGCCAGTACGGGTCAGGTCTTACCACTACAGGCTAAGGCTCGCTCGATCATACCTCAGAACCAAACTCCCCGAGGATCTGAAGCCCGTAGCCGATGATTTGAAGACAGTGAACGAGCTCGCGACGAGCTTGAGCTTTAGAGGTTGATGATGATGACGACGATGGGGATGGTGACGAGGTCGGGGTCAAAAATGGGTCCCAATATGATGCTAAAAACCAGTGCATTATTTCTTCGATCAGAAATTGATGTGTGATTATACTTCGACTATATTTCACCTCTTTGACTTCTTTCTTCATCCACTTGACCTCTAAAACTCTTGAATCTTCATTCCATTGTTCGTCTCCCGGTTCAACTTTTGGATATTTACAATTCAGTCCTTGATCTTTTGATTTCTTTCACTTTGGTCATTCTTTTCTCCTTTCCTCTAATTTATGCCATAATCATCCAATTGCGACCTAAATCAAAATATAAGGGTACTTAGTACATTTAAGAGTTAATTAGTCACAAAAATGAATTTATTAATGGATGTAAAACATGACATTTTATATCTTATTATTGACGTCCATAGCCCAAGTTTGTGTAAGAGTTCGAGTGTATTGTATGTCTTAACAATACTAATTGTTGAAACTATGGACAGATCGATCCTTTTACTTTAAAAATTGGGCGTCAATTTCTAAGCTCGAAGGTGTATTGTTATGTTTGGGGTCAACTAGTTCGTGTACTAGTGTTGGGTACTGATTTTTCAATTTATTATATTGATGGGCGACCATTGGGTCGCTGATTATTTAAATGATAAGACTGGGCTTGGTCACGTGAGGTGAACTTATTTCCTGCTCGATCTCGATCTCAAAATTATTTGTTGCGAGGGCATTCTGGAATCGAAAAGGTCGGGGTCTTTTATGCTCGACCTGTTCATATTTGAGGTCGTGTGTCTGGTTCTATTGGTCGAGTGTTAGCTGTATGCGTGGGACACGGCCTTATGCCAACTTGGTTAAGGTATTAGCTGCATGCACGAGGCACGACCTTATGCTAATTTTAAGGTATTAGCTGCATGCGCAGAGCACGGCCTTATGCTAATTTTAAGGTATTAGCTTCATGCGCGGAGCACGGCCTTATGCTAATTTCAAGGTGTAGCTGTATGCGCTGAGCACGACCTTATGCTAATTTTAAGGTATTAGCTGTATGCGCGGAGAACGGCCTTATGCTAATTTCAAGGTGTTAGTTGCATGCGCGGAGCACGACCTTGTGCTAATTTTAAGGTATTAGCTGCATGCACGGAGCACGACCTTATGCTAATTTTAAGATATTAGCTGTATGTGCAGAGCACGATCTTATGCTAATTTTAAGGTACTACCTGCATGCTCGGAGCACGACTTTATGCTAATTTTGTTAATAGGAAAGCGACATCGTAAAGAAAAACTCGTGTATTATCAAAAGGGCTCAAGGGCGTTGATACCCGAGCTTATTGGAGCATGAGCTGTTAGGGTGTTAGAGCCTGAAAAATAAAAACGAAATAAAGCAAACATAAAGTGGGCATGCAAGCCTTAAAAGGAAAAATTATAGCTATAACTAGTTACTTGTAATAAATTTTCAGATTATCGGTATTCCATGGCCTTGGGAGCGGCTTCCCCGATGTGTCTCTAAGGCTACAGATTCCACCTTTTAGTTTGTTTATGACCTCGAAGGGTCCTTCCCATGTTGGTCCGAGCTTTCTTGGTTGGTGTCCGGCAGCTTATGCTTTTCTAAGGATAAGATCGCCAGCTCTGAACCTCCTCGTCTGGACATTGTTGTTAAAGTGCTTTGCCGTTCTGTTCTGATAACTTTCAGCTCTAAGTGAGGCCTGCTTCCTTACCTCTTCAAGCATGTCAAGATGCTCAGTAATTTATCTCTCCTTATTCATCTTGAGCTTCCTTATTGTGGGGAGGCTAACCTCGATTGGGATGGTAGCCTCAAATCCAAAAGCAAGCATGAAGGGCATTTCGCCAATTGCTGTCTTGTGCGAAGTCCTGTATGCCCATAGTATAGAAGGCATTTCATCAGGCCAGTCACCTTAGGCATTCCCTATTCTTGTACGAAAGTCCTGTAATATGATCCGATTAGTTACTTTGACGAGCCCATTACTTTGTGGGTATGATATCGAGGTCAAGCGATGATCAATCCCATTGTTGGCACAGAAGCTCCTGAATTACGGATTGTCGAACTGCCTTCCGTTGTCTGTGATGAGGACTTTCGGTATCCCAAACCTGCATATGATGTACTTCCATATGAATGACCTAAGCTTCGGCTCCGAAATTGTTGCTAGTGGTTCGGCCTCTACCCACTTTGTGAAATACTCCACTGCCACAGCTACAAATTTTAATTATCCTCAAGCCAAGGGGAATGGCCCAAGAATATCAACTCCCCACTGTTCAAAAGGAGCTGAGTAATGGATGGATGTTAGTTCCTCAGTAGGAGCATGTATGATGTTGCCAAATTTTTGGCACTTATCGCACTTCTGGACGTAATCCACATCATCTTTCTTTAAACTTGGCCAGTAGTACCCATACCTTATCAACTTATATGCAAGAGCTCGAGCTCCTTGGTGATTTCCACAAATGCCTTCATGAACTTCAGTCAAGGCTTGCAAAGACTCGGAGTGTTTGAGACATTTTAGATAAGGAAGTGTAAAGCTTCTGCAGAACAGGACTCTTTCGACTAGACAATATGTAGTAGCTCTATACCAAATGCTTCTAGCAAGCCGAGGGTCTGCAGATAGGCTGTCATTACTTATGTAATCAACTATTAGGTCCATCCAGGAGGGCTCATGGTCGATGTCCATAACACTTGGCTTTTGAGCTATGCTAGGTTCTGCAACTATCTTGCTGTGTACAGTTCTATCGAGCCCATCCACACCCATGAAGACAAGTCTGGATAATGCATCAGCTTTGACGTTATTAGTCCTAGCCACCTTCAGGATTTCACAACTTATGAATTGCCTTTGAAGGTCATGCACTTTTAGACAGTATAAACTCATCTTTTCGTCCTTCCTTTCGAAAGACCCTTCGATTTGCCCAACCACTAGCTTTGAGTCACTAAAAAATTTAACATGCTCCAACTCAAGACTTTTTGCAAGTTCCAGGGCTATGATAATGGCTTCATACTCTGCTTCGTTGTTGGTGGCCTCAAATTCAAATCTGAGCGCACATTGTATTTCTGTAGCCTTGTCTGGGCTGGTGATGATGACGCCGACCCCCTAGCCCGAGCTATTAGATGCTCCATCTACAAAGATCTCCCATATTTTCAAGGTCGTGCTCAGGCTTTTAACCTGTGTTTCCAGGTGTCTCGGAGTGAGCTCTGCTATGAAGTTAACCAAAGCTTGAGCTTTGATTGCAGGTCGTGCTTTGAACTCTATGTCAAATTTGCCAAGTTCAATTGCCCATTTCAACAGTCTTCCTAAGACATCCAACTTCTAGAGTATGTGTCTAAGAGGTTGGTTAGTGAGCACAACAATTGGATGTGACTGAAAGTACGGTTGTAATTTTCTAGCAGCTATTACCAAAGCGAGGGCGAGCTATTCTGCAAGTGTGTATCATGTCTCTGCATTAAGGAATACTTCACTTACATAGTAAACAGGCTACTGAACACTTCCTTTCTCCTTCACCAAGACCCCGCTTACTGCATTCTGAGAAACAGCCAAGTATAATAGCAACGTTTCACCGGGTTCGAGTTTGGTAAGGACTGGAGGTGTTGATAACGTCTGTTTGAGCTCCTGAAAAGCTAAGTTGCATTCCTCGTTCCAGTTAAAGCTTTGATTTTCCCTAAGTAGTTTGAAAAATGGGAAACACCTATCAGCTGCCCGGGAAACAAACTTGTTCAGTGCTGCTACGCGACCAATTAACTTCTGAATGTCCCTTTTGCATTTAGGGGCCTCCATCCTTATCAGGGCTTGGATCTTATCGAGATTTGCCTCTATTCCTCTGTGCGTGATCATAAAACCCAAGAACTTTCTAGATGTCACCCCAAACGCACACTTTGCAAGGTTGAGCTTCATGTTGTACCACCATAACTTGGCAAACACTTCCTCAAGATCAGAGACATGGCCATTCACTTGTTTGCTCTTAACCACCATATCATCCACATATGCTTCGACCATTTTCCCGATTAACTCGGGGAAGATCTTTTTTGCCGACCTTTGATACGTTGCTTCAGCATTCTTTAGTCTAAAGGGCATGACCCCTGTAACAATAGATGGCCGAGTCTGCCATGAATGAGGTCTTCTAACATGAGTATTTGGTGATACCCCGAAAAAGCATCCAAGAACCTATATAGCATATGACCCAACGTGCTATCCACAAGATTGTGAATTCAAGGTAGAGGATAACTGTCTTTAGGATATGCTTTATTCAAATCTGTGAAGTTAATGCAGACTCGCCACTTCCCATTAGCTTTCTTGACAAGAACAACGTTAGCAAGCTAATCGGGATATTGTGCTTCTTGAATGAACTGAGCGTTAACAAGTTTGGCAATCTCTTCCTTTATGACTTCTCGTCTTTCTGGTGCAAATTGCCTTTTCCTTTGCTTTACAGGTCTTGCCTCCGGATTTATGTTAAGTCTATGCATTGCAACCTCTGGGTCGATTCCAGGCATGTCCTCAACTTTCCAAGCGAATATATCGATGTTGTGGGAGAGAGAACTCAGTAGTTCAGTCATGATTGCTGTATCTAACTCCCGTCCGTTGTCACTTTCTTGCCTGGCTCGAGCTCGACCTCTCCCTCTCCCAATCCCAATCCCAATCCCTCCACTGGAGCAAGTCTCTCATGGATCTCATGCTTGAGCTTTGTAACTTGCATGACGTTTCCCTTAATTCTTCGGACACTAGAGATATAACACTATTGTGCCACTGTTTGGCTGTCTTGAACTACCCCGATTCCATTACTTGTAGGAAATTTCATTGCCAAGTGAAAAGTTGAGACAATAACTCGAATTCTGTTGAGCAATGGTCTTCCCAATATGGTGTTGTAGGCCATTCGAGTACGAACAACTTCAAAGGTGGTGATCTGCGTCACCTATTTACCTTTTGTCCCCAATGTTAAAGGTAGCCCGACAATACCTTCTGGGGTGATGACCCCACCTCCAAATTCTTGGAGGGGTGTTTTAACTGGCTTGAGCTGCTCCGATGAGATTTCCATTTGAACAAAGACTTCATGAGACAGTACATTAGCTACACTTCCGTTGTCTATAAGAATTCTCTTGACTTCAAAGTTGGCGATGATGGCCGATATGGCCAGAGCATCATCATGAGGGAATGTTATGCCTTCCGAGTCCTCCGTTCCAAAAGTGATGTCCTCTGTACAACCAAGATCTGATCTTGAGATGATTGGAGGCTGCCTGTCATATTGTTTACGCCCGCTGCTAGAATTTCTCCCTGAGGCTGTTTCTCTGACAATGATATTGATAGTATCTGCAATTGGTTGTTTGTTTCCCCGACCCTTTGGGCCTTTGTCTTAGTTCTGATTATTCCTTGGGCACTTGTCATTGCTAACGTAAGAGCCCAAAAATCCCATTTTTATAAGAGCTTCAATTTCCCGCTTCAAGGCTAAACAATCTTCCGTTGATGTCCACGATCTCTATGGAAATCATATTACTTACTCTTATCAGGAGTGTCGGGGGGAGACCGCAATCTGGGAGGTCACTTCAGTTTCCTCGAATCTTTGATCTCCATCAGAATGTTGGACCTCGAGTGTTCAAATGGGTAAAGGATGTTGAGGAGGGGTGCTGCCTTGGCTTGACCCGAGGTGTATCTTGTCTCAGACTGGACTCATGCTGCCCTTTTTTATCCAACCTTCTCGATGAGGAAACTTCTCTTTTAGGGCCATGGTTTCTTCCATATTGATGTACTTCTCAGCTCGTGTGAATAGCTCGGTGACTGACTTTGGCAGGGTCTGGGACAAGGACATCTTGAATGCTTCACACTTAATGGCGTATGTCAGAGCTGAGACTACATCGATGATATGTAGATCGAGGATCTGAAGCCTTTCCTTATTAAACCTGGTCATGAAACTACGCAGTGTTTCATTGGGTCCTTGACGTATTTGCATGAGTGATACCACCGTCTTTCTGATTCGCTTGCTGCTTGCAAAGAAAGTGGAGAACTTATCGCCCAAATTTGAGAAGGAGGTGATAGAGTTCGGTTCCAATGTGGAAAACCAATCTCTAGCTGCATTTGTGAGGGTTTGAGGTAATGCCTTGCACATTACTGCATCAGGTGCAACCTGTAAGTTCATGATATCCGTGTACACATTAAGATGATTGATGGAGTTGGTTGTCCCATCATACTCATTTATCCAAGGATACTTGAACCTATCGGGGAGGGGATGCGTGAGGACTTCCAGAGTGAATGGCGTATTGAGGGTGAACCCTGTTGCTACTCGAGTATTTTTTTGCATACCCGTTGCTATCCCTTTTTGAATAATTCTAGCAAGTTTAGCGGAGCCCATTATAGTGGACCTTGAACCTGAAGCCACTTGCAGTGCTCCTGAAGTTCCAACCCCGCCGTTGATGCGAACCCCATTGCAACTTAGACTACGAAACCCACAACTAGATTAATGCGGAACCTAAGAACATCAATTGATAACCAGTTTGGATTTGAACCCGATAAGATGAAACAAAGAACCCAAAGATAACGGTAAAGCAGTGGACCCCTTGCTTACAAATTGAAGAACCCACGATCCGATGTTGAACACCACATGGAGTTATCCTTGATAAGTTCTAAATTATTATTCAAAGAAGAACAAATTGGAAAAAAGCAAAAACCTCTCTTGAATTCAATAATAATTGCTAAAAAAAATCCTTTACAATGTAATGGAGAGAATATTTATACTAAAGCTAAAAACCTAGCTAAAATTGTGCAAAATCGTCAAAATATCGAAAGAAGTCTAATTGATATCAAATTCTAACAAAATAAGAAAATTCGCGAAAAAGAAAAATTCTGCCGGATTTTTGTACCATGCTGCCGCATTGTACATTTCCATACGGTCGCATAGGAGAAACTATCGTCCCTCGAGAAAACCCTGCATGGGTCTGTGCGGTCGCACCACTTTAAAACCATACGGCCGCATGTTGTTACTTTAGCCTCCTTCTTTATCTGCTTGTATTGAGTTGATCCACTTTGATTCGGCTTTCGACCCCAACACGAAACTTGTCCCATTTTAAGTCACAAATATCGTCCCATCAATGGTTTCTTACACGAGCAATCCCATCGCTTGTTTCACTTGCTTTGCTCTTGATCGCATCATCGGTCCGCCTTTGATAATCAACGGGTCTCAACTCGAGCTCGCTGTCTTCAAGCTTGATTCTTGGATCACATCATCCCCTCCATCTTCAAAAGAATTTGTCCTCGAATCTGGACCTGCATCAAAAAGGGAAAGACTAGCAACGTCAAATATAGTCAATACATTATACTCACCTGGCAAGTCCACTTTGTAGGCAGTATCGTTGATCTTCTCGGTTACTTAGAAAGGACCATCTCCTCGCGGTTGTAATTTGGACTTTCGTTGCTCCGAAAAATGTTCCTTTCTGAAATGCATCCATACCCAATCTCCGGGTTCAAATGTCACACGCTTCCGCCCTTTGTTTGCCTTTGACGCGATGAGCTTGTTCTTCTCTTCAATTTGCATATGGACCTTCTTATGAAGTGCCTTCACCATCTCAGCTTTCCTCTTACCATCCATGCTACCTCATTCATTCACAGGCAAAGGAAATAAATCCAATGGAGTTAGTGGATTAAACCTATACACAATTTCAAAAGGTGAATAAGAAGTAGTCGAATGTACAGCATGATTATAAGCAAACTCAATAAATGGCAAGCAATCTTCCCAATTCTTTAAGTTCTTATTAATCACTGTTCGAAGCAATTGAGTCATGGTTCTATTTACTACTTCAGTTTGACCATCCGTTAGTGGGTGACAAGTTGTAGAAAATAACAATTTAGTTCTTAACTTATTCCACAAAACACGCTAGAAATGACTCAAAAATTTTACAACCCTGTCCGACACAATACTCTTAGGGACTCCATGCAAACGTACTATTTCCCTAAAGAATAAATCAGCAATGTTAGTGGCATCATCGATTTTGTGACATGGTATGAAGTGTACCATTTTGCTAAACCTATCAACCACTACAAAGATAGAATCCCAACCTTTCTTTGTCCTAGGTAACCCCAACACGAAATCCATAGAAATATCTACCCAAAGTTTACTAGATATAGGTAAAGGTGTATACAAGCCATGGGGTAAAACTTTTGATTTAGTCTATTTACAAGTTATGCACTTCTCACAAATTCGTTCTATGTCACTACGCATTTTAGGTCAATAAAAGTGTTCCCCTAACATGTCTAAAGTCTTTTGAATCCCAAAATGACCCATTAGACCCCCACTGTGTACTTCCCTTACTAATAATTTATGCATTGAACAATTTGAAATGCACAACTTATTCTCCCTAAACAAATATCTTTTATGTCTATAAAATTTGTCAACAGCCATTTTAGCACATGAATTATAAATGTTTGAGAAATCAAGGTCATTTTCATACATGCTCTTAATATGCTCAAAACCAAGTAATTTCGTACTTAAAGAGTTAAGAAGCACGTACCTTCACGACAATGCATCTGCAATTATATTTTCATTACCTTGCTTATACCTGATAATGTATGGAAACGTCTTTAGGAACTCCATCCACCTCGCATGTCACTTGATCAACTTACCTTTACCCCGCAAGTGCTTTAGGGATTCATGATCGGTGTGTATCATGAACTCCTTAGGCCACAAGTAATACTGCCAAGTCTCCAATGCTAGAACAAAGGAATACAACTCCTTGTCATACGCTGGGTAGTTTAGTGCAGCTCCACTCAACTTCTCGCTAAAGTAAGTAATAGGTCTCTTTTCCTGCATTAATACTGCTCCAATACCTATCCCTGATGCATCACACTCAATTTCGAACGTTTTATCAAAGTTAGGTAATGCCAAAATAGATGCTTTACACAATTTATCCTTAATGGTATTAAATGCAAGTTCTTGTGTTTCCCCCTAGTGAAGACCTACGCTTTTCTTAACGATTTTAGTTAATGATATCGTGGTTGTGCTAAAGTCTCTCACA